AAAAGGCTTCACTTGGAAATTTCGGATTTTGATACGGTTGCTCTAAAATTTGGGTTAGACCCATTTCCCACTCAATTTGACCCCCTAAACAAGAATATGAAGTCGGATTTTCAAAAAGTGAAACGGATTTTTTTATATATAGCTAAACAAGTTTCCGGTAACTTCCGAAGCACATTTTTAAGAACTTTTTGGGTCATGTCATCTGTACAAGTAGCTAGTGGGAATGAGAGATTACCTTAGTGCAAGTTATGTCAAATATGTCTTCTGCTGTCATGGACAGTAATTTTTCTCCTAATTCAGCAGAGATAGATGCTGTGGTTGTAGCAGTATTGTCAATAAGATCAATTTGAAAGCTAGAGCTGAAATGAAGGGAAGTTTCAAATATGGGTATAATATACACTATATTTTATAGAAAGTGTAATGTAGAAGTAAAAAAAGTATAGTACCGAGGCACTAATGATGTTTTCCGATTGCATTTTGGACATTCAAATTCCTTTCTATCCTTTGTGCGCTTCTTCTGTTTGCATCCTCAGCATTCAAGCACACAAAAGTCTTGGAACTCATTTAATATGGCCATCTCTGCTTCAACATAGAACACTCCCATCTGTGGGAAGTTTTGAATATTTAGGCGAAGCTACAGAATGACAAAAATGAATGAGGATACTGTGAAATGAGCAGGTTCAAGTATGACTTACAGAAGGTGCTGATGAGATTTCTGCAATAGAGATAAGTTGTTGCCCAGCGGGAGTGACTATCATGGGAGTGATAGATGAGCTTGTTGAGGCATTCTCTGATGGAGAACGTAACAACAGTGTTTTGTTTTCTTTTGCCCTATTGTTAGAACAAATAATATGTTTAGTAGGTTCTTTAGATGCAAAGTGAAGCTATAGAATAAATATGAAATGTCAGTACCAGTTGATGAGTGCCAGTGCCTGGGGGTAATTTGGATTCACACGTACTGTGGAATTGTACCTAGTCTGCAGTGATAACCCTGTATAACACAGAGGTTGTATATTGTTTTGTTATTAAACAAAATAATGTTGGTAAGAAGATGACCGCATATGTACCTTGATAAGTAGAGATTCCTATACTTCTTCCTAGGATTACAAGCAGATCTGCCTCTGTTGTCATTTTTGAGGAGATTTCATGTCCTTCTATTTCTCCAAAATCCTCCCACAGAGTGAAGAGAAACTGATTTCGCCTGAGAGTGTCAGAACATAAGTTCAGAAGAGTAAGTACTATGATAATGCTTAGACGATAATTGATGATGTCAGTAGAAAAATGCAGAAGCTGGTTACTTAGTCAAAATATTTGCAGAAGCTGGGAAAGTAGAATGTCAAATGTGATACTTACTGATTGTCACAAAGGGTAATTTCGCGACACCTATGATGACTGTGACCGGCGTTCTTTTGAGGACCACAACGAAGAACGATTGCTAGTATATCTGCGTATATAATACATAATGAAACGTTGCAACTGTTCTGCAGCAGTAAAGAGGTATATTTCAGTCTGATAATAGCAAGTACGAAGGATGTACCTATTTCTGCAGCAGAATCAACCATCAGATGAGGAATGCGGTCAAAGCTGGTGATATTCAGCTTGGTTGGCGGTGGGAGTGCTTTTTCAACTTCATTAGATGCTTTGATTTGTTCAATTACTGTTTCTTTGTCAAGTATCCAGTAAAATTTATGTATAGGTTTTCCGTATGAAGTTGTTGACAGTTTAACTTTTGCAGTAGAGATTAGGTAGGTATTGAGGAGTTTAAGTGTAGCTGCATACTGCTTGATTTTGTCACTGTACATAACGGCTTTAATTTGGCATTCCTGAAAGCAACGGTGATAGAAAGTTCAGATTAACTAAGTTGAGAGGCAAAGAGCAATAGTGATAACACAAAATGTAATAATGAGCTAACCTCTTCATCTTCCAAAATTAAATTTTGGAATGTACATTTCTTGTCTAGGTTTTCTCGTGGCTGTCCTATTTCGACAATTTGAACTTTGCAAATCCAATCTCGTGTTGCTGGTTCTATTTGGTCGATGTTCACTCTTAGTACCATGTTTGGAGGAAATATAGTTAACCAAATAGTAGTACCTGCAGGATAACAGGAATATTAAGTCAAAGTAGCTGCTTTGGTGTGTTTTTATGAACAGGCGTGATTAAAATAGGGATATGCAAGATTGTTTCATGTCTTCATACAGAAGAAAAAAATGAATGAAAAGTAGGGAGCACTGTGGAATAAAATACACCTTGTAGCTGCATAAAGGAGGTTTTGATGTAGTAACCAAGCACTAAAAAACTCTTGTAAAAGCAATTTAGGACAAAAAGTCAAGATAAAGTACAAACGCATAAAGGATGACATAGCATGTATCACAGTATTTACTCTTGCTGCCATCTTCATCTGCTAACTATTTGTGTGTTATTAGTTCTTTGGGTGAAAACATAATGAAGTTTGTATGTTCCAAAAAAAACCAAAATGAAGAACAAATGAAAAGGGAAACAAGAGTCTTGTTATAGTAGAAGTAGAGTGATGTGTAAATCTGTTAGGGCCCTTTAGTGGATCGCAATGAAGACATAAAATCAGTTAGCAGGCATTATTAATGTGCAATGTACAATTGGGCAAGTGTTTTTTCACAGAGGATCTGTTACAGGGACAGAAAATGTTGCAGAAAATTAAAACAACAACAATTATCTCTGAAACTTGAGTTGAACGACTATGCATTTGGGAAAAGCAATATGAAAAAGTTTACTGAAGGCAGTATGTGATGGCTTATGTATGACTTAGTATGATGGCAGATGCAGTTTCTAGAAGAGACCTAATTTCGCACATTTATATCCCAAGGCAGCATTTAGTCTTACCAAAAATGTTTCCCATTTTTGCATAGAAACTCAATTTTGATGTTACTATTTAAATAAACCCAAAGAAGACAACAGAAAACAGCTATGGTGCAGGTATTTTGATCATGTTGGGCATGAAGCTAAAAGCATACTGTTGGGCCCATGGTATATCTATCTATGAAAGATTTAATAGTATTGAAAGCATTAAATATGAGCCATCAAACAAGAAACTGATAAGGGAGGCTATTACTTTGGCTTTTACATTTGCAATATCAGTAGAAATGTATAATAGCATAGTAATTGACGTCCAGCTAATAACTGTAATTGTGAAAATTCTTTTTTTTCTGTTTTGGTGAGAAGCAGAATCTGGCAGAAAATTTGAAAATGGGAAGACAGAAAAGATGAAAATGGCTTATATATATTATATATTTTAGAGAATATATATAACAATATGTATTACCTTAGTCTTATCTAATTAGTCTTATCTAATGTGTTAATATTCTAATTTGTTTAAATATATATAGTAGAAATTATAAAGGACAAAAAAATTACATGTGTCTTCCTAGAAATTCATAGGGTTTTGGTTGCCAATGAAATTGTGCCAAAAAAGACAGAAAATCAGTACATTTGGTTGTCAAAAAAGAGACAAAATCATTACCTTTGACTACCTAATGTAATTTTTTTTTTTTTGTCATTATTTCATTGGGAATCAAAACTGCATCAATTTTGAAGTAGACAGTTGTAGTTTAATTGTTCTTTCTAAATAAGGAAAAAATAAATTTATTTATCTATCTATGTATCTATCTATGTGTATTTACATACTGTCTGTCTGTGTGTGTGTGTCTCTCTCTCTCTCTCTCTCTGTATATATATATATATATATATATAACCCTGGGGCTTTTCCCTTTGTGAGATATATATATATATATATATATATACACATACATACATACATACATATACATATATATAGATAGATACACATATATATGTATATATATATATATGTATATATATATATATGTATATATATGTATGTATGTATATATATATGTATGTATATGTATATATATATATATATATCTATATATATATGTGTATACGCAGACAGACAGATGAAATAATGTGTCATTTGGTTAGTATGGTAGCAAAAATAGTATAGGATTACCATTTTCTTTCTACTGTAAAATTGAATGTAGGAACTGTTAGACTAAAGGCAGATAATGCATTTCCCTAAAAGTAAATTACATTTGAATGCCTAATAAGTTGAGAAGCACACAGAGATAACTACTGCTTTTACCTTTTCCTTTACTACATGCGAAACTTCACTGATACTCCTTGTAGCTTTGTCCTATAGTAAGGCATATTCATTAATGTCTATTTGACATTATTAGGGACTTTAAATGTGAATGATTTGACCCTGTATGATTATTGGGAGAATTAAGTATACTAAGTGGAACAACTTCTGCCATTGAGATGTTGATGTAATAGGTGAACGGAGAGCAGCAAGATTTTGGGGAAGAGCATGTTTTTGAGCAGAGTATTCTGGGTGGTGTAGTGCCACAAGAGCTACCCTTTTTTCAGTTGGTGTTTTATGATAACAAATTGGGTTTCTCAGATTGTTGGCATCCTTTTTGCTAGTAGCTGTTTGTTCAGGCAAGATTGCATTCATTTCCCGTTTAGTGGTAGACAGCTGAGGGCAACTATTTAGTGAAGTTCTTTTATTGAAGGTAATATCTTCGTGTTCAATTAGGGTCATGCAACACTGAATAACATAGTACAATGTACAGTGAAGAATACAACAGAAGAGTAATAGAGGTGAAAAAAGTATAGAGCAGGAAAATGCAGAAACTTACGTTTGTCAATCAGAAGTTTGTCCTCTATTTCAGCAGCTGAAGAAGTGTGAGTTGGAAAATCCTACATAAGGTGTACCAAGTATGTAATGTATTAGTTAAAACTATGCAAAAGCGAAGATTGAAATGAAGATTGCATTTTTGAGACCATTGTAATTAACAAAAAGGTGAAATGGCAGCTTAGCAAGAGTAGAGCATATATTAAAAGGCACATATGTGCTAACGGCGTAAATAGCAGTGGTGTGTGAGGGAAAAGCATATATGTGGTTAATACATTGGGTAAAGTTGTTGGATGTTTGGATAATTCCGAAAGTTTACTGTCTCTTTAGTGTAGAGGACCTGGACAAAGAAGATTGTTTCGTTGTTTGAGCTAAATTACTGTAGTTTATTCTGCAAATGAAGAAGTTGTTCTTTCCTGTTGAATTATCTTTCATTCACGTATTGATTACATATTTGTTATGGACATCAGCAATGTAGAAATCCCAGAAGCAGCAAGACATACAGTGGAGTTTTTGTCTAGTTTGACACGACATATATACTGCAAATCAATACTAACTAAGGCAACTAACGAAAAAATTGACTAACATTTGCGTATTAGTAGAGGGAACTGCTAGAGTATATTACATTGATTTCTGTAGAGGGCATTACCTTTATATGATATAACCCATTTAGGTATAATTACATTTGATAAGAGCCCTTTTGTTCCGATTGGAATGAATATAGAGAGTAGAAGAGAATGACGAAATATACAGTCAGATTTGCTTATGTAAAAGGAGATGAACTGAGTAGGCAATTTATTCCTAACAAGCTACAGACTTTTGTCATCACAACAATTGTTTTGACTTGATGATTTTATACTATGTCTATGTCATTGATTGCACTGTCTATAATTGAGAAGTCATTTAATTTGATTAGAACTACAAGAGAGCAAGTAGAGATCCAATAAATTGTCCAGGAAAGAGAGAAAAATGAGCGGAGCAAAGGCAGGCAGGATACCTTTGTTAGCCTGGAAGATCGATCAACTTGAAAGAAGGTTTGCATATTCACAGATGTAGAGGCAGAAACAAATATCAGCTGGTAGCTGCAACGGAGGTATGAAATAGGTGTCAACCGAAGAGAGGCGGGAGTTTGTTGTAATGTTTAAATCACGTGGAAAATGAAAAGGCAAAATAGAAGTGGGCTTAATTTATTTTGTATTTACAGAAGTAGCCTTAAACATACAGGTGTAAGCAATTAATTCATTTCGTCAGACTGAGGAAAGCATGACTTAGACAAAGGTAGTGTTTACGATGAACATGTGTACTATAGTCTTAAATTATAAGCAATGTAAATAGTTGAAATATATAATATGACAGTGTGCGAAAAATTAATGTAAGATTAGAGATTATATACCTTTGAGTAAAGAATATTTTCACTGCCTTTGCCTTTTCCTTTACCACATGTGAAACTTGAATGACAGTCCTTCTAGCTTTCTCCTATAGTACGGGAAATTCATAAATCTGTATTTGACATTATTAGGGACTTTAAATGTCAATGATTTGAGCTTATATGATTACGGGTAGAATTATGTATACTAAGTGGAATAAAAATGCTAAAGCTTTATATATATTTGTAAAGTAAATAAATTAACTTGCAAGCAAATATACAAGATTAATTTTTCAGCAAAGTTGAACTGTAAATTTACACAGAATATGCTTAAGAGGAAAAAAGTATGTAGTTTTGATGGAACTGACAGAGTTACCTAAGTTAGTGTTCAGATTGTATCTGCCCTGGTGGAACCATGTAGTCTATTAGTTAATTCATGACATTGTTGATATAAATGCTGGATCTTTCTGTGGGCTTGTTCTGTAGTAGAGCACATCAGCAGGACTGCACAATAATATGTGCTTTGCTTCTGAAATTGCAGTCATATGGGTGGAGAATGAACTGAGACAAAAGGAAGGGCATTTATTCTATACCTACCAAGTTAGCCTGAGAACTAAGGTTGTGACTAAACCACATGGAGGTAAAATGTACGTTGTATTTTGTCTTTGTAGGTAAGTTCATTTGCTGCCTTTTGATCACTAAGAAATAGAGAATTGTAATCCCCAAATATGTGAAGTTGGTACAATAATTTTAACAGGTTGAGAGAGCAATTGAAATGGGTAGTTTGTGTTTACTTTTGAATTAATGCTATGTCATACAATGTAAAGACCCTATGCTCTTCCATTAAGGTGAAGCTGCAATGAAGTATGGTTGATAAAGTTTGTTAAATGAAGAATAATAAATTCGATACAGAATGAAGAGCGTTGGACTCTTCTGTTGATACACTATGCAACATATAAAAGCAAATATGTTGGTCAATTAACGTGGAAAAAGGATTGATATTGTGAGCACAGAATGAGAAAGATCGATATTCTCAGCTGTGAAAGAAAAAGAAGTTCAGATATGGGTTGAATGGGAGAAATAAGAACTGAAATGTAGGAATAAGCATGAGAAATCATGTGTACCTGGTTGGTGTGACTGCCGCCTTTTCTTTTGTAAGTTGGAAACATATGTATTCACATGAGCAGAAGCAGCAGCAGAAGGCATGGGATGCAATGTGTGGACATCAGGACAATTAAGCAGATTCATTTTTGTAGAAATGAAGTGCGTATTACCACTGCCTGCAGCTACAGTCATGTGAGCATGTTAATCCTACAGTTTCAAATTTTGAAACAAAGGAATACAAAGCACATCCACTGCATCCAATTACCATATCAGTGTCTACGACATTTCCAGTTGCACATAAATACTTAGGAGTTAGGTTTAGGTCCAAAGGCAAGCAAAAATTACAAAATGCATGCATAGATAAGTAAAGCCTAAGCATAGCACAAAAAACATGAGTGAATAACTGTAAGTCCTTAACTGAAATTGAAGAGCATAGAGAAATTGAGTAGCTAACTGTAAAAAAAAGGTGAACAAGACAGATATAAGCATAATAATACCTTCATGTATTCATTTACCGCTGCCATTTCCATTTCCATTTGCAGCTGAATTAATTAGGAGTTAGGTTTAGGTCCAAAGGCAAGCAAAAATTACAAAATGCATGCATACATAAGTAAAGCTTAAGCATAGCACAAAAACCATCATTCAATAACTGTAAGTCCTTAACTGAAATTGAAGACCATAGAGAAATTCAGTACATAACTGTAAGAAAAAGGTGAACAAGACAGATATAAGCATAATAGTACCTTTATCTCTTCATTTACCACTGCCATTTCCATTTCCATTTCCAGCTGAATTAACTAATGGAGGCGTAGGTGGTCACAATTGTTTTTCCTGAATATCTCCATCAGCAGCAGAAGCTTTACTCTTCACTTGTACAATGTGATCATTGTGAGCTTCGAAATCTTGTACCATTTTTTGGATAAGTGAGACATTGAGAGCACGATTTTTAGCAGCTTCTTCTTGTTGAAGTGAGACCGTATTTTCCAACTATTTGAACTTTTGCAAATACATCTTTACTTTTGCCTCAACTTTAGCTTCTTCATTTTTTACCTCGTCATTTTTGGTTTACATATCCTTCAATCGATGGATAATTGATTGAAGGATATGCAGAGGAAAAATGAGGAGCTAAAAAATGAGAAAGCTAAAGTTGAGGGCAGAGTTAAGTTGTATTTGGAAAAGTTGAAAGAGTTAGAAAGTAGAGTATCACTTAAGGAGGAAGAAACAGCTAAAAATAGTGTTGTGGATGTCTGAGTGATCTAAAAAATGCTAGAAGATTTGGAAGCGAAGGATGATGATGTTGTACAAGTGAATAGTAAAGCTTCTGGTGCTGATGGAGATATTCATGAAAAGCATCTCTGGTAAATCTGACCGACTCTTTAGAGAATCAGAATCTCTGTTAAGATTTTGAATATTTGTGGAGAAGTGCTTTTGATGGTCCATGAGAATTCCTTCAACCAAAGAGAACTCTTTATGACGAAAAGCTGATTTTAGATATGAGATGAGTAATCTGTGGGAAAAACGAATAAATCATTTTAGTTTGCATTTGAAGATAGCACAAAACTTTGTAACTTTGTAGAAGTTTTCTGTCCTTATTCAAGAATAGAGGACCTACAAAGTGGAGGGGAAAAAAAAAAAACTAAAGAATGCTTACTCCTTTTTATTCACATTGATAAAGAAAGCTAAATTTGCATAACTTCTACAAAGTTACAAAGTTTTGTGCTATCTTCAAATGCAAACTAAAATGATTTATTCGTTTTTCCCACAGATTACTCATCTCATATCTAAAATCAGCTTTTCGTCATAAAGAGTTCTCTTTGGTTGAAGGAATATCTAAAATAAGCTTAGAAGCAATTATTTCCCTAGAGTGATAGGCCTAGCAGTTAATGAGTTTGAATAGGCATTAACAGTTTGGACTGTCCAGAAAAACAGGAATTTGGAGAAACTTGAAATGGTAATTAAAGGAGTTGAACAAAAAGTGATGTGCGAAGAGTGGAAAGTAAAGCAATAAGAGAAGTAGTAAATCAGCAGTAGAAATAAAGTACTATAAGTTGGTCCTAATAGCATTATGAGAGAGTTTCCTACTGGACTGAATACTACAAATGGGTAAGATAACAATTCTGAATGTATTTGAAATGTTTTTGTTACAACTGAAGTAAACTATGATAGAATAGCTCCTGCGTCTATAAAATTGTATAGACCATGGGAGAAAACATATAACGTACCTGTGAGCAGGTGTCAGATGTCTGTGAATCTTGTGGATGGGCTAGCGTGTATATATGGTTTGCGTGAACAGTTGAAGCAATTGCTCTAAGGTGCTGATAATGAAAAAGCTCCTGCAGACCCTGCAGCCTGTTCTGTATTAGCGGTATTTGTACTGTTCAGTTGCAGGGAATTTGCTGTAAAATCAAGTTAGTATTTAGGAATATTGAATTGCATGAAATTCAATATGAAATAAGTTAGAACGACATATGGAACAGCTGAAATGAATCATCAATTATATAACATGAAATATGTGTACGAGGTAATGATTTTTAATAGGCATTCATAATTTCGAGTATCTGGAATAACACAAAATAGAAGAAAGCTGAAATACTAATTAAAAGAGTTGAAGGAAAAGCGATGTGCAAACATTGGTAAATAAATAAATAAGAGAAGTAGTAAATTAGGAGCACAAATAAATTGCCGAAAGTTGATCCTACTACCATTATGAGAGACCCTCTTACTGGAGTGAACAGGTGAAGTAAAATATGGGAGAATAGCTCCTGCCTGTATCAAATTGTATAGATCATGTGAAAAAACATATAAGGTACCTGTAAACATGTGTGGGATGTCTCTCAATCTTGTGGACTGGTTAGCATCTATATAAGGTTTGGGTCAGCAGTTGAATGAATCCCTCTAAGGTGGTGATAATGAACAGGCTGCTGCAGACCCAGTGGGCTGTTCTGTATGACTGCTATTTTTATGGGTGACTTACAGGCAATTTTCTGCAGGAAAAAATGATTATTTAGGAATATTGAATTTCAGCAAATTCAATATGAAATAATTTAGAACTACATATGGAACAAATGAAATGAATCATTAATTATATTACATGAAAAAGTTTGTTTTTCCTTTTGGCAATGAATTTGTTTGGACAACTATTGAAGGAATTAAAAGCGTAAAGAATAGGGAAAACAGAAATGGAGAAACCGTTGAAATCCTAAGTTTTGAATGAGTGAAAGTGTGAAAGCCAATTTTACATTTTTGAGGGGTTGTGGTGGTTCGATGGTGAAGATAGTGTAACAGACAAATACATGCAATTATTTAGCTAAAGTTTGCAGCACATACATACGGTATAATATGGCCTAATATGGTCTACAGGAGACAAATTAGGAATCACAGAAAGAGCTAAAGAAAAGAGAATTTAGGAATTGGAGAAAGAGCAAATGATGGAGGAAACATGTCAATTTTGCTGAAGCGATGAACAAGTACCTGCGCAGGGCGTCCCACAGAAAGATAAATGTTGAGTAAAGCTTCTGAGACAGATTTAAAGGCTATAGAAAAACACAAAATAGTAAAGAACAGATGGATTCGCCATAGAAATTTCGCTTAAAGGATGAATAAGTACCTGCGCAGGTCATTCGATAGAAACAGAAATGTTCAGCAAACCTTCAGAGAGAAATGTAAAGGCTGTAGACAAACTGAAAACACAGAAGAAGAGATGGATTCGCCATTGAAGAGTTGACAATTAGAACGAAGAGTTGAGAGGGAGAGAAATTAGGGTCGCTTAAACCATGAAGAAATACCTGCGCAGGTTGTCTGAGAGAAACAGAAATCTTGAGCAAAGGTTCTTTAAAGGCTGTAGAGAGACAGCAAACAATAAAGAAGAGATGGAGTCGCCATTGAAATTTCGCTTAAACCATGAAGAAGAACCTGCGCAGGTCGTCGGAGAGAAACAGAAATCTTCAGTAAAGGTTGACAGAGATGTAGATAAACAGAAAAGAATAAAGAATAGGTCGATTCGCCATTAATTTTGTGGTCAATATCATGTGACATTAATTTGAAGGGAGATTGTACTAACAGTACTTTTAAAGTGATTTTTATGCATATTATATTAGAAATTTATGCAGCTACATAAAATGGCTATTCAATGAAAGAATTTATGAAGCATGTATACGTACAAAATGTATTTTCCAAAAAGAAGCAGAGGTTGAACAAGAGAGAAGAATTACCTTGTTTGAACAACCTTACACTCTTCTGTTGCTTTATTCTCAGAATTCTTCTTTGTACTGTTATTTACGTAAATGTTCTCATTAGAGTTATGACCAATTGTCATGCAAATGACAGGCAATCATTACAAGTTTTGGTGTTAGAAGAAAAAATGTAGTTTCCCTGTTTTCTTGTAAGACATAATGCTGGAGAAGAAGAAGTTAGATAGCATGTGGATGTAGTAACAATTGTTGTATATTTTTTTTGCAGGGTTATACTTTGAACAATATTATTAGTATAGCCACATCGCTTAGAGCTAGCACATTTGTATCCCTTATCTTCCCTACAAGCTCATATGCATTAATAATAAATGATTACATGTAAGCAGATATTACTGTTTACATTGGATATTGAATCTCCTGAAATGTACTGACAGGAAAAAACCAAACTTGGGAGAAATGCACAACAAGGGATAGGAAGAGAAACATTAAGTTGGAATCCAATTGAAGTAAACACACTTTAAAAAGGCTAAAACGGACAATTTTTGTTTACATCAGTTGGAAAGACTTACATTGAGAAAATGCATGAGAGAGTTTTGAGACTGAAGAAAAAGCGTCCATAATGACCATGCCATGCTCCTAGTCTGAATAAAAGAAAGCATGTTAACTTGAACACAGCACGGGTACTTTCATTCTACATTTGAAATTCGAACAATGAGATATTCGTAGCAGAGAGAAGTACATGACATAACCTTAACATGAATCTCCATTGCAGGCAAATAGTATACTGAGCAATTGAAGAAAGTGAAAAAATATTCTGGAGTTAGTTCTCTTAAAATTGCCAGTCAAAGAGAGTAAATAAGGTTGAATGTTTAAATGTATTTTATGGAGAAGGAAAATAGTACACATGATTAATCAAAACGCAGAAAACATGTTTCTATTGAGAGAGGAGAAGTACCAATTTATGTGAATTAATGAAGAATTTGAAGGTGAATGTTTCTCGAATTTGACAGTAAAACTAACTTACAAATGTAAATTGTTTATATACATCCATGTACTTAGATGTTCGTAAGTGTAGAAGCATATACATAGGGTACATGTAAATGGCCCCTTATACAGATTGACGAAGATGGTAAATAACTTAAATAAGGATTGTGCTTGTTGTTATTTGATGTGCTATTCATGTAATATTTATCTCCATTTATAAAGAATGTAAGTTATACCATGTGAAATCTATTTGTAATATCAAAATACTGAAAGTACTAAAAATGTCAACAATTACGAAGGTCAAATATTCAAAAATATTAAATAAAAATTGATGCTTTGAGACAAACTTGAACAACGTAATAATATTTTGACAGACTAACCAGCACCAATACAGTAATCCTACTTATAAACCCATCAAAACGCTGATATAATATTAAACATTGGAAAAAGTGAAAAAAAATAACATCTAAAGACATAAAACGTAAGAGAATTTTGACCAAATAATGGGTTAACGTCAGACCTTGATGAAGAGAAGTGATGATTAAGGTTTGAAGCGTTGATACGGCAACCATCGTTGCAACAATTTGAAGCAATTGAGGGTTCTCTGCAGGGAGATTCTAATATGGAGGGCGAGTGGGAAACATGGATCTGAATCAGAGCACACAGAGACTCAATTAGTGTTTGGTTCAAACTAATGACAATGAA